CCCCTATGACAAGAATCTTACTCGAGAGCAATTGATGGAGCGAGTGGAGGGGTATTTTGCCTTCCTCGGCCCTGAGTTTCTTGAGAAGGGCAAGGCACCCAACCTTGTCATACTGACAAACTACGTCATGGGCTACTACAACGACCCGGCGTTCCTGGAGGAGGACATTTCGGAGCTGGACAAGAACGACTACGACCATCTGGCAAGCTGGGGCAAAGACGCGTTTCTGCGCCGTTTGGAATTTGAGAATGGCCCGCTACGTGACCAGGTGGAGGCGCACACCCAGAAGCTGCTGGCAGAGCGGGAGGCAGTTGCAAAGAAAGCCGCTTCTTCGGCCGATCCGGTCAAGACGGGCTGAATAGCGACGTGATCCACCGCCTTAAGAAGAAGAAGGAGGAAGGGTGGGTGCAGATATCCTTATATACATAATTGATATGAAAGGAAGGAAGGAAGGAAGAAGAAGAAAAGGAGGAAATGTGGATGTGTACTATGGGACGTAAGGGGGTGCGAGTGAGCTACTAGGAAAGGAAGGTGAAACTACTTTGCAAGGGAACAAAAAGTAAACCAAAAAAAAAAAAAAAAGAGGTGGCAATAGAGTGCGTGTCCGTTTATTTTGTCACTACTCATTGATAGGAAGACCCCAAAGGTGGGAGGATGGAGGAATTTGGCTGAGAAGGAACAATGAGAAGGAAAAATAAATATATATAATATAAAAACAAAGGGGCACTGGGCCTCCTTCTTTTTTGTTGACCTGTTGTTTGATTTCTTCTGTTGATGCAGACGGATTTCCTTCGCCACTGCACTATTCGTGACAGGAAGAGTATTAGAGTGAGTTGGCATCCAGGAAGGAGGCAACGCAACGGGGGTCTAAAGATGAGGGAGAGAGAGAGAGAGAAGTGATGTTGATTTTGCGGGCTTCAGCACAACTTTTTGTCGTTGGAAATTTCATTGCATGTGTTTCTTTTTTGGATGGCTACTTCTTTTTTACTTGCTCTTTTTTTTTTATTTCCTCTTTCTTTTTTTTTTATATATATTTTCTGTTGTTTGCTTAAATGATCGCTGGCTGCCCCTTTCTCTTCTTCTTCTTCTTTTTCTTCTTCTATCATCATGCATCTACTCCGTGTGTGTATGTGCGTGTGGTGGTGCTTAGCGTGATTGTGTTTAAGGGCGGTGGGGTGAACCGTATTTGGCAACGGCTCCGAAAATCTCGGGTTTTACTGCGGCGATGGCGACGGACCGCCAAATTTTGCAGGTTTTTTTCTTTTTCTTTTTTTTTTTATTCGATGCACAGTTCCAAAGCAGCGACTGGAGGAGGAGCAAATGGATCTGATATACGCGGTCTCTCGTTGAACGAGTGACGGAAATTATTGTTATTAATTATTATTATTTTATGCGAACTCATAAATTAAATGGTGTTATTTGCGTCACGATGTGCCTCTGAGCAAATCTGGAGGGATTAGTGGGGTCTGTTGACAAGCAAGTTGAGTGCAGCAGCTCTATTCAAGATGCATCTGCATTCGTACGGACAACGTTCTGCTACTGGTCAGGAGGTGAATGCCGCTACAAATATGTGTGCGTTGCATCACGCCTCATCCACGCTGCGCAGGTGTTTTCCAGCCGCCGGGCAGCCGCTGGGGGGTGTACGAAGGAAACTCACATTTCCGTTTCTGGAGGAAGCGCACATATATATTCCTTTTCTTCTGCAAGTTGTACATGGAGTGGCTAAAAATTTTGGCGTCTCATCATCATGTGAGGCAGTCATTACTATTGTTTTATTGCTTTCGTGACTGCTTGTTTTACTGCAGTGTTGCATCCAATTTTTGTTGCGGTTCAGTTGTTAGTGCATCTTCTTTTCTGCTGCCATTGTTATTGTTATTTCCATTTTGTGTTTGCATCGCACCACGTGGGAGCATGTGCCCCCCTCCCCACAGTTTTCCAGTTGTCATGATATTGTCCCTTCTTTTTCTCTCGCTTTCCTTTACTGTCCTTTGCCCCAGCCGAGTCAATACCTAAGGAGAACGAAGGAGGATTAATTTATTTAAAGAAACAAAGAAAAAAAGGGGGGAAAAAGAAAAATAAAGGTCTCTTAAAAGAAATAAAAATTAAAGTTAAGAAACCAGATAGACATAAGCAATGAGCAGTGGACTTGCCGACTTTGACGGAGATGATGTGAAGGTGCCGATTGTGTCCGCACAGCCACATATGGGTGTGGGCATGGGAACACACAGTGCCGTTGCCCTGGGGGGGTTTCAGGACTTTTGTCTCAAGAGCGAACTCGCCAACGCCATCCGCGAGAACGGCTTTGAGCACCCAAGCGAAGTGCAACATCAGGCATTGCCGCAGGCGATGCTTGGCGCTGACATTCTTGCGCAGGCCAAGTCCGGTATGGGGAAGACGGCTGTCTTTGTCTTTGCGCTGTTGGAGCAAATTGAAAAGGTGCCAGAGGGGCAGAAGCCGCATTGTCAGGCAATTGTTGTCGTCCACGCCCGAGAGTTGGCGTACCAGATTGAGCAGGAGTTCAAGCGGTTTAACAAGTATTTGCCGTATTGCACCACTGGTGTCTTTTTTGGTGGAATCCCAGAGGACGAAAACGTGAAGCAGCTCAAAAAGGAAGTCCCCGCGATAGTGGTGGGAACACCGGGGCGCCTCAGCGCACTTATTCAGCGCAAGGCTCTCGAAGTGTCGCGCGTCAAGTGGTTTGTCGTGGATGAGTTTGACCGCTGTTTAGAGGATGTAAAGATGCGCCGTGAGTACAGACGGT